GGGGTGGGGTGGGGGCAACAGAGGAGCAACGAAAAAGGGAAAAGAAAGATAGCGAGATACACAACGCGGCGCCTGCCACCCCGAGAGCCAACCACCGATTCTGATGGACCATGAGATTCGTGGCATTGGAAATATTTAGCGATACGCGCGTTCCCATCTTATTCGTGTTGACCTGGTGCGTGGCGCCTGCGCTGTCTTTGCGTGGTGGGCGCTCCATAGTATCGCGGCGCGCTGCAGCAATGCAGCAGTTCTCGTTCCCTGCATTTTTTGTTTCTGTGAGGGTTTTTGCTTTCTTGCGTGCGTGTGTGCTGCTGCTGCTGCTGGTGTTGTTGCCGTTGCTGTTCAGCGACGCCATGACACATTCACCTCATCGGTGCGGAACCTTTGCGTGATGGTGGCGTTGGGCAGCGGCGTGAAACCTCCCGCCAGATACTCCNGGTGCGGAACCTTTGCGTGATGGTGGCGTTGGGCAGCGGCGTGAAACCTCCCGCCAGATACTCCAGCATCCCCGCATAGGCAATCATGCAGCCGTTGTCTATGCAGTAGCGCGCGTCCATGTCGAAGCAGCAACCGCCGCGAGATTCCGCCATTTGCCGCATCATTTCTTGCAGCCGGACGTTGCAGCCGACGCCACCGACAATAAGCACCTCGCTTGACGCACACTGCGACATGGCTCTTTCGGTCACCTCTGCTAGCACCGCAAACATTGTTTCTTGTAGTGAGTAACAAATATCATCGATGCCAAACGGCTCATCTACGGCGCACTGTACCACACTAGGAAGTGCACATCGCTGTGCTGCAGTAAGTGACGACAAATAGGATGCACATCTCTCCTTGTCCTTGAACTGAGGATGCTGCAAGAGCCTTTCAACGAAGGAGAGGAGGCCGCTGAATGACATGTCCATTCCCTTCACGACATACGGGAGCTCAATGAAGAGACGGCCGCGCTTGGCGCACTGTTCAATGTTGTAGCCGGGTGCAGGATCGTTGGAGAGCCCAAGCAGTCGTGCTGCACGGTCAAGACAGTTCCCCACCGCAATGTCAATTGTCTCACCAAAGATGCGGTAGCGGTGCTCCGCATAGGCTATTACCTGCGTGTTGCCACCACTCACGTAGAGCACCACGGGGTTCTTGCTACCCGTTACAACACGACCCATCTCTATGTGCCCAATGCAGTGGTTCACGCCAACCAACGGCACCGACCACAGCAATGACAGCGTCTTCGCGACGGTGCAGCCCACAGCGAGCGGTGCCCCCATCCCTGGGCCTTTTGTGTAGCAGATGACGCTGATGTCGGATGGCTCAACCTTTGCCGCTGCCAGAGCGGATTGCACTAGCCGCAGGATGTACGCCGTGTGGTGCTGCGCCGTCTCCCGAGGAAGAAAGCCTGTTCCTGCTGGAGTGATGTAGGTTTCACGCTCATTTGAGAGCACTGCGCCTGTATCATCGACAATTCCCACACCGATTTTGTTTGCACTGCCTTCAATACCCAAGGCGAGGGTTCGTCGCTCACCAACCCTAACCATTCTACTCCCAATACGAGTGTGCTTATTTTATATGAATAGATGCGTGTGTGTGTGTGTGTGTGTGTGTGTGTGTGCAACGCCTCGGTGCTCTTGCATCATCGCAAAATGAGTGAAAAGGGAGAAAGAGAGATAGGAATATNGCTCACCAACCCTAACCATTCTACTCCCAATACGAGTGTGCTTATTTTATATGAATAGATGCGTGTGTGTGTGTGTGTGTGTGTGCAACGCCTCGGTGCTCTTGCATCATCGCAAAATGAGTGAAAAGGGAGAAAGAGAGATAGGAATATATAGAGAGAGGAGTAGACACACTCTTTGGCGTGCGTGGCACGTTTACAATGACCACTCCACGATATTTGGATCCAGAAGGTGTCCGCTGTTGCTGCTGCTTCTTCACCCACGCCACGCCTCGCCGTCACTGCTAATGAAAGTGCGGCCACGAGCGCGTTGCCCTCCTCTGTGATACAGACACCGCACGCCTCCAATTGCTCGCGCAAAGTACGCCTCCATCGCGCTTGCATTCATAGTGTTGCTCACCCGTGCCATCATGGCAAGACACCGAAGAAACGACGTTTTTGTACACAACAGGAGCTGTGTCACGGCACTCACGTTGACGTGCAGTTTGCCTGGGCACATCAGCACATCGCTCGTGGTGGGTGCAACCGCCGTCGCCTCTCGGACGCATCGCCCCTTTGCCAATGGCATAGCGCAGAGTATCGCCCTCCCCCCACAGCGGCTGGTGGGGCGTTGTCCACGCAACGCCTCCCACTCACCGCGAAAGCATGCCACAGAAGGCGGCATGACGACAGCTCTTCACACACAGAGAGAGAAAGCTCCGTCTGTATTGTTCTTCCGGCTATGGTGTTTTCTCTTCGCAGAAACACATAACGGACATAGCAAGTGCAGAGGAACTGGAGGAAAAAGCAAGGAACAGCCGTTTGTGTGTGTGTATGTGTTCTTTTTTTTTTGCTTTCCGCCTCTCACAATGCAGATATTGCAGAACTGTCCTGCCCCCTGAGGCCATACAACTTCAGTTAAACTCCACTGTCTCATCCGCTCTGTGCGTCTGTCCCCGCTCGCCATCAATCGGTGTCATGCATGCCGAGTTGGAGACGACTGGCGCCCGAGACGAGCCGCATCTTTGCTGTGTACTCTTTCTGCCGTGTGTGGTGTCCTTTGCGACGCCGGAGTTGCGTGGCAGCTGGCGAATACACCGCCGTTGCCATTTGGTACACGCTGACGGGGCGCTCCGACACCGGCGCGAAGGCAGCGGAGTAACCAACGGCGTCCACGAATACCTGCTTCTGCAGCTGCCAGCGTATGGCGGAGATCCTCCACATTTATTGTTTCTACAGCTGCGAGTCCCACTTCACAGAGCAATGCAGGGGGGAGGGAGACAACAGAACTCTCCACGAGGGGAAGCCAGCAGCATAAAACAAAAAGAAAAGGGAAGATGCAAAGAACAGAGCGCTTAATGCCACCCACGTGCTTCTAGCTATGCCCCTCTCCATCCGCCTTCCAGTGGTGAAGGCAAGGCTAATCTTGCACCATAATTACGCACACACACACACCCGCTCCATGCATTCCATTTCTCCAACAAGGGGGCGAAGGGGGGCTGGGCACAGGTCCATTCTTTGCCACCTCATATCGACCCACTCTCTCTTGCATCTCGCGGCCTAATAATATTGCGGCTCGTACGTGGGTAGCTCTACTTCGTGGCGCCGACTTACGAACGAGAGGGCGAGGCAGGCGAAGAGAAATGGCAGCAAAAAAGTAAACTTGATGCTTTCAAGGAAGTGCATATTGAAGCTCAACGCCACACTGTCTTCATACTTCTGCCCGTTAGGCATCAACATCACCACAGAGACAGAGGCGTACATCCTCTCTAACGGGGCGTGCAGCTTGATGGCGTACGTGCCTGGCTCACTGTACACCTTCTGATGCACCAGAACTCGTGGGCCGATGGTGATGGTCAGACCATACCGCCGCTTCAATGCAGCGCTCTTGCGCATGTCGTAGATGGTCACCAACAGCGTGAATGTATCACCGCGGATGTCGCGTGCCGCACGGCTGTCGGGGTGGATAAAGACGCCAACATGCCCCTGTGACGCGGTGAAGCCGTTTGTAGATTTGACGCGGCTGCCCCACGCCTTAAGTGGGTGGTATGTGGCCGGTGTCTCGAACACCATGACGCTACCGCTGAGCGTGCTGACGATGAGGTCTAACTTACCGTTTCCGGCCATGTCATCGGCAAGCACCATCGCAGAGGACTTCTCCCCCATGTCGATACCATCCACACAGCCAGTGGTGCCGCTCACAACGTACAGAACGCCATCGTGGGAAGGGACAACGATGTGCAGGCCTTCTTCGTTACTCTTAACCATCGAGTTGTTGAGATTCACGAGCAGTGGCGAGGCGATAATAGGGCCCTCCGTCGCAACGGGAAAGTGCGGTAACAACTTTCCGTCACGACCCTGCACGGCGTAGAGCATCCCAGATGACGTGCCAAATGCTAAATCGAGGTTTCCATCGCCGTCCACGTCACCGAATGTGATGTGGTCGGTAATGGCGCCGGCAACCGAGTTGCCCCAGAGCTTCTTTCCCTTCGCCGTAAAGCATGCAATTTTGCCGCTCGTGTCAGCAGCGCAGACGTCAAGCGAGCCATCAGCATCCACATCCTCCACCGCTGCGGTAGCTGTTATGGGACCGCTCATCCACACCGGCCAACCGCTGATCGGCCTTCCTTGCCCAGTGAAGCCGAAGATGGCACCGGCGGTTGTTGTAACGAAAATATCCTGCTGCCTGTCTTCGTCAGGGTTAACGACGGTGGGTGAGGAGAGTGCATAGGCGGGGGTTGCATCCTTCTTTGTCGTGAGGTGCAGCACCTTCATCCACTTCACTTCTCCAGTGACGAGGTTGAGAACCATAAGTGCATCTGCCACGTAGTCGTCCATATTGATGTCGGCCGGGAGGAGCTCCGCTCGCTCGCCCTCATATGCCTTAGGATCAAAGTAGTAGCTGAGATGCAGGACGATGTCGAGGTCACCATTGCCATCCACGTCCGCAATGACTGGAGTGGACATGATGTGCGGGTCAACGGCAACCTCATCCTCGGCCACAATCACCGCCGACGGACTCCGCATGTTACGGAAGTTAAAGGCATCCTTCTCACCCTCATAGTTGACACTGCTCCTGTAGAGTTCCTGGTGATATAGCAGGTCCATCGAGGCCTTCGCTTCCGAGCTAAGCCAGCCGTCGGTACCAATACCTTGCGGTTTCGTCTCTGCTTCAACCGGCTCGGGCCCATCATCCATTAGATCGTCTACATCGTCCATATCATGGTCATTGTCATCAAAGTCCACCCTTTTGGGAGGCGGTATGCCGTCTTTGTCACCCATGCCAGCACCGTCCTCTACTCCAGCCTCCGCGAGGCGGCGCCCGGGCTCTGCTGCCTCTTCCCTCGTCGCTTTTCGAAATTCTCGTGGTGGTGCTGCTACCGCAGCGGCATCAGTGGTGTTGGTACGGTTGTAGGTGTGGTTCATATTGCGACGTAAGTGCCCGAATCGGGGCGTCATGTCAACCATTCGCCTCGCTCGCAAGACCTGTCGCACCCATTCCTCCGACCTCTGCACATCCTTTAGTTTAAAATTCACTGCATCGTCTTTGGTGAGGTTGTGGCTTGCCCAGTTCTTTTTGACAGGCAATGGGGGTACTTGCACCGCTCCACGCGCCTTTCCATCGTCGCCGAACACCATCAGCTCCCCTGTATACATGGCGACAAGCCACTCCGTCTTTCCGTCACCGTCCATGTCAACCGGCAGCGGGCTAGCGTAGGATTTGAAGTTTGGGTGCACGAAGGGGAAGCCTGCCACATCTTCGCCGGTGCTGCCGTCGAGGGCTTCCAGGTACTGCGTGTAAGTTGGCACGAGGATCTCCTTGTTGCCGTTGTGGCTCAAGTCAACGATGCGTGGGGTGGCGAACACGCTGCTGCCCACCCGTGTTGTCCACTCCAAGTGCACCCCGGAGCGGCAGGAATCCGGTGCGTTGTCTGTCGCACCTTTTGGTATGATTTCGGGCGCCATCATTTCCTCCGGCAGCATGCCTCTCCGTGGCGCCTTGCTGGCCAGCGGCGGCATCCACTCCACCGGCGCAGCAACAGCGGCCGCAGCCATTACGAGGACGAAAAGAAGCACCGTAGCCATCGCCATGCCCACAGCGCGATGCGCATATGAAAGAGCACAGTTCTTCATCATAGAGTGCGTTTCACACCTAATCTGACGACAAGGAAACAACCGAAAGTACACCGTGCATGTGTGGTGCGCACGAAGAACAACGAGCAGCACAAGAAAAGAAAAAAAGTAAAAAAAAAAGAAGAAAGAGCCACAGCGAAAAGAAGAACATGTATTTTTTTTTTTACACCTCCAACCACATGATGGAATCGATGTGCAGCATCTATCAACACATAATCAACAGTGCGTATCGCTTTAATCATTCTTTCTGCCTCATCACGTCGTGTTAATCATGCGCTTCCCTCGCGTTACGCGGGTAGACGAACCGCAAGAGAGACTGGAGAAACGACCTAACTGGCGAATCAATGCTATACGACGCATCACATTTTCTCGTCAGTGCTCCCCCCCCCACCCATTGCTGGCATCAACCCTCCACATTCATGTCCATCTCGCTCGTCGCTCCGCTGGTTGCGTAGCTGCTGCTTTTGTGCTTCGGTGTAAATTTGAACTTATCACCGGCAGGGCCGAGCAGCATCTCACTGATCCGGATCCAGTCCACCGCACTATCACTCGCCATGAGTGTCTCCAACTCGTCACGCCCCTCGTAGAATGGTGGCCTCTCGTTAATGCGTTGTGGCAGCCGCTCGAGCAGCCCGACAGGCACATAGCGGCAGAGGAAGGAGAGCCACTCGCAGAGAAAGCGCCGAGTGGTGAGAACCCCACGCTCGTCCGAGCCCCAGTGAGCCAGGCCGTGGTCGCAGAAGCGTCGCAACATCTCAAAGCGCTCATGGCTGCTGATATCCCTCGTCTGTCCCGCCTTGATCTCCTCGAAGATCCACGGCTTAATGAGCGCACCCCGTCCAATCATGTATGAACTGACATGCGGGCACTGCTCGCGGTGACTGACAATGTCTTCGTATGAGAAGATGTCGCCGTTCCCGATTACAGGCAGAGCCGTCCGCGTGGCGCAGTCATCAATGTACGACCAGTTCGCCAGCTTCGTGTAGCGTTGCTTGCGCGAGCGGCCGTGAATTGTGACGGCGGCAGCTCCATACCCTGCGTAGTCGCCAATCTGGTTGTGCAGGAGCGGGACATCTTCGTTGGGTCCAATGCGGCACTTGATGCTGACGGGCTTTGACTGGTGATGCACCAACGACTGCACAACTTCCTTTAGTCGGTTCCCCTTCCGCTCCCAAAGGCCACAACCACAACCGGAGTTCACTATCTTATCAACAGGACAGCCGCAGTTAATGTCGACAAAATCGTATGAAAAATCAGACGCTTCGATGGCCTGCGCCCACGTCAAGGCGTCCTGCGGCCGTGAGACAGCGATTTGAATGCCGAATATATCCTCAGACTCGTGGCGGCGCAGCAGCGACCACTCGCTTTTTTGCAAATGGTTGAGGTTGTACACAAGTGCCATCTCGCTCATTGTGACGTCGGCGCCGTACTCCTTGCACACGCGACGGAACGGAAGATTGCCCACCGTAGTGAGAGGCGCCAGTACCAGCTTATTCGAAAAGAGTGCGCTTCGCCGCGCTGCGTTCTCACGCAGAGCCTCTTCGCTGCCGCTGCTGACGACACGCGGTGTGTCACTGTTTCTGGTGGCGGCGTGCTCCACATGCTGCTGTGCTGCGTCCCCGACACCATTGGTGTTGCTCGGCTCCACAGAAGTCTCACCTTCGTCCACCAGCGGCACCTTATCTGGCTTCGGCTCACAATTGTTATCGCTGTCGCGTGCGCGCTTGGTCACTGTGTTGCGCTGTCGCACAATCGCCTTGATGCGCTGCAGGACCTCGCCATGAAAGAAGTTCGACTCCCCGTCAAAGGAAGGACGCTGCGTCCCATCAACCGTGGAGGACCGCAACCGCTCCGCCCCCTTGTTCATCCCCCGCGTGCGCCCCTCTGCGTCGAGCGTGACACGCATCGGTGCGGGACGGAGATACTCCGCCTTCACCCCGCAGATACCACGTGAGAGCACCGCCGGGGCAACAGGAGCTGCGGGGCTTGCAGCAGGTGCGGTGGATGGAGCCTCCTCTGTCGCAGTGCTGCGTGCCGTCGAGTCGTCCATGTCACTTTCTCTCTGGCTGAGCTTCGAAGCGCTTGGAGGGGGATCGTCTGCCTTTCGAAACAATGCGGAATGAGGCGCGAGTGAGGGACAAACGGTGAGGCAGAACAATGCGTGGAATGAGCAAAGTGGAAGGAAGGCGGTAGCGGGGGTATACCAAAAAGAAGAAAACATTTCATCTACAACACGTGTGCCGCGTCGGCGTGAGAAGACCCTACCAAAAGGCAATGAAAAACGGTTTAAAAAAAAGAAATACATGAAGGTAGATGAAAATATACCGATTAAAACAAAAAAAAAAAGAAACAAAGAGCCCATACAAAACTTACATCTGAGAAATCATGACCATTAGGACTGATTGACGTAGCTGTAGCCTTTGTAGTGAATGCGTTTAAAAAGGAAGGGGGAAAAAAACATTACCCCTTTTCTGCCCAATACTCGGCTTCCGGAGGCGGAAACCCGAGCGGGATATAAACAAACAAACAAACAAAAAAAAAAACGACAGAAGAAGGGGACAGCTGTGGCAGAAACAGGGCCGCATGTGAAATTAAGGGATGTACAACACACAGCGGTATCCGGTAACAAAAACGCAAACAGAGACGCAGCTGGTCTGGGGAGAGAGGAAAGAGGAAAGAGGAAAGGAAGAAAAAACGAAGAAAAAAAAGAAGCAAATTATATTTCACGGCCCACAGATCTCGAACACGTCGAAAGCTGCTTGTTTCCTGTCTTCTGCACGCCTTCGCGCCATTGGGGCCTATGGGGTTAGTCCTCTTCAGGCTCACTCCTGGCTGGTCCCTATTGCGTTGCCTTCCTCGTCGCCCTTCTTCAGCTTAACATTGCCGTCCAGGTCAATATCATCACATACACGGGCATTCGGAATCAAGACAAAGACGAGCGCAATGCTAATGAGCGGAAGGAGGAAATGCCCAATCAGCAGCAGCATCGGCACGTTGTGGAAGTCGCAGGGGGGTTTCGTCACCACAGGAAACGCGTGCTCCATCAGGATTGAACCAAAGTTGTTTGACATAGCCAGCCCAAGGTTGGCGAAACCCGCAAGCACGGAGTACACCATGCTTTCCGCTCCTTTAGGGCAAACACGCGAAATCAGCAGCACACATGGCATCCAACTGAGCATGTAGCACACCTGGTAGACAATCTGATCGCCCATAACGTACATTATGTGATCATTGATGCCAACACGTATGTTCCAGCGCTTGACGATGATGATATCAAACACACTCCCCAATATTTGCACCATCATTGTAATGATAAAGCTCAGGCGGTAGCTTCGCTTAGAGAACACATACGAGAAGAGCGTTACACCCACAATACCACCAACGTTTCCAATAACCGAGCCAATCGTGTAGTAGAAGAACAGGTTGAATTGTGGGCCGTCAGGAAGGCAGTCTGGTCCAGCAGTGTAGAATGTATCCAATGCGCCGGGGAACTGTAGATAGAACGCCATGTGAGCGAATATATACAGGCTGACTTTTGCAACCATTTTGGGCAATGCATAGAACGCGAAGGCGCCAAGAAAGACGGAGACAGTTACAGAAGCAATGAGAAGATCTTGCTTCGTACCGAGAATTGTCACAATCGCCATACTCACCACACCAACCGCCATCAGAGCTGAGTAGATGAGCACCAAACGATTGCGGCTGAGGACCTCGGTATTGAACTCCACAGCGCCGCAGCATAACTCGCGGATAGGCAGCGGCTCATCAGAATCATCCAGCTCATCGAACGGCTCATACGCGGAGAGGTCAACCAAGTCGCCACCGTCCTGCACAACATTCCCCTCAGCCACGGTAGGATCTCCGTCACCCAGCTTCGTTTCCTGCACTTCATTCAGCATCGCTGCCCGTGCCATGCGCTGGTCTTCCATGCGCTCCTCGCGGTTGGGTTTCTCCTCAATCCAGTTAAACACAAAGAAGACAGATGTGAGGAGCTGCAGCGCGGCGGAAACAAAAATACCAATGTGCTCCAAATGCGCGTCGGAGAGCGGCCCCTGGAGAAAAGAAGCCACAATGGCACCGATCATAATGAACCACCAGACCCAACTTACCAGCGCAGGCCCTGATTCTGGTCGATGATGCATCAGGCGACTGTAGTGCCCCTCAATAAGGATGTCCACATTGGATTTGCTGAAACCTGTGAGGAAGACAAACGCTGCGGCAGTGGCTGCGCTTGCGGGCGCAGCCGGAAGGAGGCCGTAGCCAACAGCCATTCCAGCCCCAAGCACACATGACGCCGCACAGTACCATCGCTTGGTGTAGCTGAACAACGCGAACATGTCGCTGAGGACCGCCACAAGCGGCTTAACAGACGTTCCCAACTTGGTCACGCCCACCATTCGTTGGTACTCCATTCCCGTTAGGCCGTAGCGGCGCGTGAACATGGGAAGTATAGAATAGGCGATGAGGTAGTTGGCAACACCTTTACAAAGGAACTGGATCAAGCCAAGTGAAATGACGCACCTCGGACCAAAGCCCTTTACCGCTTCTCCGAAGACAGGAATCCGCCGAAATATCGGTGACCTGTCGAAGAGCTTTCTTGCGCCAGGGTGGACGTAGGCGGCATCCACAACCTCTTCGGCGGAGAGCGGATAGACGGTCTCACTGCCACTGTTAGAATCAGCCTGCATCCCATCTTCGCTGCGCGCCATGATGCTCTTTTCTCTGGAGAACACAACGAAAAGGAAACAAATATATTACAGAATAGGGGAAAGAGATTCACACAGGGATAGCGGTGTGTGCGTGCGTTCCACGAAGCAATCATCACATTCTCCGAATCTGAGTATCCCATTTCTTTATTTCCACTGCGACACAGCAACGAATCTGGTGCCTATGTGTCGCACCGGGCTGCTAAGAAACAAGAACAGCAATGCATGCAAATGAAGTCAGGATGCCGCCTTCACAACACCGGCCCGGCTGCGAGAGCGTCGTAACCGCCTTTGTCACACCGCTGGACCCTTCTGTATCAAGAATGCACCACTTTTTTTTTGCGTTGACCGCTCGATGGTGCAGTTCCCCAGCAGTACCCTATCAACATCTTTCAGAGTCACTTTGAAAGCAATCGCCTCTCACACGGCACGGCTGAAAAAAAAAAGAGGGGTACAAAGCGTCGCAGTAGCACACATACACACACACACACACACACACAAAAACAAAACAGGCCCACAGTCATCACCTCAACAGAGCCTTTCAAACCACAGCGTCCCCACATGAGGTTAGACTAAACAACGCGAAAAAAAGTCCTTCGATGGCGCACGAGGACAGTTGCATGAATACTCCATAAAATGTGAAACAATCCCCGACACATCCAAGAGCCAGAAATTGCATTTATTTATGACGGAAGAGATTAGGAAAACGAAACAAACAAAGACAACAGAGGCTGGGAAGCGTACAAGACCACATGCAAAAGGAAAAACAAATGAAAGTGAAAATACATATATGTGTGAAAAATTATAGAAGAGATATTTGTTAAAAAAAAAAAAAAACGAACCTCTGGAAGCCTTAAGTGCGGCGAGGTCCAAATATTTCTTATTACTCTATTCGTCGTTAGTATAATGGTGGCCGCGTGATACTATGGATAATCAGAGAGCAATAACATCAAGTAGGCCTGTTTTTCTGGTTTAGCGACTTCATCCTGATCGCTTCTTTCATTCGTCTTGGCGGACGCGTCGCTCTTTGGTTCAGGGGAGCATTTTTCGGTGTTGCTTGGAGTGGCTTTTGGATCTGCTTCCCTTTTGAACATGTAGACTTTCTGTGAAATTGTTTAAAGATGTACCCAGATGAAGAAGAAGCAGGGTCAGATTAACACAGGCAAGGTCAAAGTAGGGCACTGCGAGCCAGTTCCCGTACACACAGAGACGATTTTTCATTGATGCCACCCTTTTATTGGCTCTTTTTCCTCCCGATCCCTACTACTGTTATTGCACCCCTGCGTGCTATCGTCAACGACCCACGTTATTAGTCTAAATAATGCAGAAAAAATTATATGTGTTCGTTTTTTTTCGTTTTCATGGACCCCTTTTCTACTCCTTCAGTTGCGCGCCCTTCGCCAGCTTGGATATGTCCATGCCGATGTTAGAAGGACCGAACTTGAGGGGAACCAGTTCGCTCAATTTGATCACCTTTGCGTGCTTCTTGTCAAAGGTAACGAGGACGACAAGAAATCTATCCAAATTATCAGATAAGTCTGCAACCTCAATAAGAGACTGACGACAAAAACCACACGGGGGCGTGAGCGTGTCAGGTGGGGGATTTGCAGCATTCGGCGCTTTGCTGCACCCATAGATAGCGACTGCATCTGCCGTGCGGTGCCCCTGGGAGTTCCCCTTCACAATGGCACATACCTCAGCACAGCACCCCTTGTACACGCAGTTTTCATAGTTGCACCCGGCTGTTATTTTTTGATCATCATGAAGAAGAGCAGCCCCCACAGCAAAGTTAGAGTATGGACAATAGGCGTTGTGATGTGCGTCGACTGCAGACTGGGCAAGCTTCTGCAGCTCGACTGGAAGTTCAGCGAGAGGTAGCACAGTGTTCAGCTTTGTAAACTGCGAACGCATTATTATTGTCCTGATGGTTTTATTGTCTATTAAACAGAGCAGACAAGAAAAAAAATAGTCGATTCCATCAACCCGTTCCGTGAGTGAGAAGCAGAAACAACAGCTCTCTTGAAAAACATGCACATTCCCACCACTCCCCTCCATTACCGCTCAGCTACAGCTCCATCGGAGGGTCTCAACCCCAAGCGCCTCAGCGTGTTCCAGTACGCCTTACAGAAACACATGAGGAACCCTTCTACTGCCTCCGTCGTGACACAAAAAGAGGACACAGGTTCCGTTTGTGTGTCAGAGTTGCATGCCAGTTGCAAATGATGGTTAACAGCTGTTTCGGCATCCATCCATGTAACTGTCGCATCACTCTTTTGTAGAGAGGCCGCCTTCTCTACTTCTTCCGCACCTTGGGGAGAGAGCATTTGACACAGGCCCCAGAACGACAATCCGTATAGCTCCCCAACGCTAAGGTCTTGATACAATTCTTCCAAAGCCTTTATGCCAAATACGTTTCGAGGCGAGTCCCTGCTACTTTCCACACTTTCCCTTTTATTTCGTTGGCCACAAAAACGGGCAGAAGCGGGTCGCCGCGGTGACGATAGCGGTACGGCATGCACGTTAAATTCCGGTGGTAAAGGAGGAGGATCCTCATAGACGTCTCGATACGACTGTTTGTCTGTGCTGGCGCCCGTGAGAGAAGGCTTTTCTCCAAATTCTAACGCCACGATGCGTGCAACCAACGGTTTCCCTTCGGAAGCACCGAGTAACTCGTCTCGCGCCACGTCACTGGGATCACTTGGGAAGGGTAACAATGAAGATGGCGTAAAAGCAAATGACGATGAAAAATCTTCCGTTTCAGCGGATTCCAGTAGCTTGAGTGCCCAGCGCACAAAATACACCCGAGACTCTCGGCTATCAGAGTCATGACTCTCCTCCCGTGCAGCGCAGACCCCTTTTCCTCCACGCTGTTTTTGAGATTCCACATGGCATGAAAGCCAGCAGCGTAACACGGTTCGCCCCCTTAATACCTCGGTTACGTCGTCCAGAGATGTTTCGGAGGGGAGCGTTTCTATCGCCCACGCGATAAACTGTTTCAAGTCGTTGAGGGAAAACAACCCATCTCTGTCACCGTCCAATACAAACAACAGTGGCAAATGATGAAGATCTACAGCAGAAAGACACTCTGGCAAGAACGCCGCCAGAGCACGCAAATCGTTAACGGTAAAGAAATAGATGTCCGTATCCTTCCGCGGGCCGGTGGAAGTGAAAAACCCACTTTCCTCGTCGCCACCCTCCTGCAGTGGAGAATGCTTCTCGCTACTCCGTTGATGGAGAAACCGTCGAAGCCCTCTGTCCACTGAGCGCAAGGCAAATGAAGATGCTTGGCCCATTTAACACACATACACAAATGCAGGCAGACACACACCCGTACTATATAAAACAAGGATGAGAGGGAAGAAAAAGATCAAAAACAAAAGAAAAGGAAAATTAAATGGAGTACATAGCACGGAAACCTCAAACACTGACTTCAAGCCAAACATTCCATGGACTTCACATTTGTACACTCGTAGGCAGCAAAAACTGTTGTGTAGTACTTCACTTCTTCTTGACTACCTTCAGAACAATAATAACGATGATACCAATCAATATGAGAACTGTAAAACAGATAATTATTCTGTCAGTCATCATACGACGAATGAAAGCGTTCAGCTCTTTTTTTGCTCGATCGACTTCGGAATCCAGTTCGTCCAGATTTTCGNCTGTCAGTCATCATACGACGAATGAAAGCGTTCAGCTCTTTTTTTGCTCGATCGACTTCGGAATCCAGTTCGTCCAGATTTTCGTTAACCCGCTGTATTTGCTCCGTCTGCACGCGCAATTGTGTTGCCGCATCGTTGCCTACAGTTTCTGTATCGTTTAGCAAACGTTCTGTCATTGCCAAAGATTCTAGCGTAGATCCTTGAATGGCCGTAACGCGCCGCGCCGCTGCACGAGCCTCATCTTTTCCGTCATTGGCTGGGGAGTTTGGAGACCATGTGTTTCTTCCCCCCCCACCACTTAAGGGCATAANGAGCCTCATCTTTTCCGTCATTGGCTGGGGAGTTTGGAGACCATGTGTTTCTTCCCCCCCCACCACTTAAGGGCATAACTTCCACTTTTTTCGACTGCAACTCTCCTTTTAATTGTGTGATTGTAAGAAGATGCGTTTGGCCACGCCTTTCGTAGACTTCTTGTTCATTTCCCTCCAGCAAACGCACCTCGACCTTGAATTGGTGGTACGTTTTGTGAAGCCGCTTCATGAGATCCTGAGCCTTATTGTACTTTTCAAGTCTATGATCAAGGTTTGTGGCTGAATCCAGTGTGCGAAGAAGACTGCCTATTTGCTCTTCAAAGGCTTTCAGCTCTTCATCGTACATTGCGACGTCTGACATGGCTAATCTACGCGCGAAAACTAAAGCGGAACCCCCTCCTCCGAAGAACCTTTCCCGTTGCAAAAGAACGAAAAAAACAACAAGAA